CATTTTTGTTGAAATGTGTAGAAGAGCATGGAGGAGACATTGAATCAGCTGGGACCCTGGGGTGGGCAGGGCGGGGGCGGTGGATTGAACTCCTGCCAGGAAGGCTCACCTTGAGCAGGGCTGGTTGCTTCTGCTCCTGACCGCCAGCCAAGGTGGGAAAGATCCAAGCTGGGTGGCCCAGGAGGGAAGCATCCTGAGGGGGTCTGGGACAGGGATGGAGGAGGGGACAGCTGAGCGTTCCTCCCAGGGGTGGAGGGAGTGGGAGGGGAGGGGGGCAAAGGGGCTGAGAGACTCGGGGTCAGAGAAGGGTCAGGAACTAAGCGCTCGTGCAGCTTAGTCCCTACCCACACCTTCAGGGGAGGGGGCATGCAAGGTCGCTGTATGCCCGGGCATGCATATGGCTCTCTCGCATCCCTGTGATTGGCATTGAGAGCTGGGGCTGGTCTGACACCTGGAGAAATCTGCATATGGACCGGGTATTAGACACAGGTGAGGCGTTGCTATTAAGTCTGTCCTCTGTGATGAGGTCAGAGTGGTCCAGAGTGTCCTCAGCAGAAAAGCAACCTGGAGTATTTCTCGGTGAAACGACAAGGTGGCTTGGACTTACTTTCGTTCATTTATTTTTGGCTGCGCTGGGTCTTGGTTGCCGCGCGCAGGCTTTCTCTAATTGCAGGCAGCAGAGGCAACTCTCTCGCCGTGGTGCTGGACTCACTGCAGTGGCTTCTCTCTGCAGGGCGTGGTCTCTAGAGTGCCGGCTCAGTAGTTGTGAGGCACAGGCTAAGTTGCCCTGTGGCGTATGGGATCCTCCCCCACCAGGCATCGAACATGTGTCCCCTGGATTGCAAGGAGGACTCTTAACCACTGGAGCACAAGGGAAGCCCCTTGGATTTGTTTTTAATGTACTCCAGTCCCCCCCTCCCCATCCACAATCAGGGCAGATAGTAGAAATGAGGCTTTCAGGATAGCAATCATTTTTGAAGCTGGGTGAGAAGTTCTCTTTACTTCTTTGCATGTTTGAAATTTTCTATTAAAAAAGTTGAAAACTAGTGTGAAGACCCATTGGGAAAGACCCTGATCCTGGGACAAATCGTGGGCAAGAGGAGAAGGGGGTCAACAGAGGATGAGATGATGGTTGGATGGCATTGTTGACTCAATGGACATGAGTCTGAGCAAACTCGGGGAGGTAGTTGAAGGACAGGAAAGCCTGGAGTGCTGCAGTTCATGGGGTTGCAGAGTCAGACATGACTTACCAAGTGAATAACAATAGCCTGGAGTCAGTTTCTCCCTTGCAAGAGGTACACACTTATCTGCTCACTTTCACCAAAAAGCTGCCTCCCGGATTCTGTGTTGGACGGACTCCCTCTGAAGCAGCCAGGGGGTCTTCACAAATTATTTCTTCTGTGCACTCTTCTGTGTCAAAGACCAGATGATGGTGTGTTAGTCAGCCAGTTGTGTCCGACTCTTTGCAGCTCCATGGACTGGAGCTCGCCAGCCTCCTCTGTCCATGGAATCTTCCAGGCAAGAAGATACTGGAGTGTGCTGCCATTTCCTTCTCCGGGGGATTTTCTCAACCCGAGGACTGAACCCGAGTCTCCCGCATTGCAAGCAGGTTCTTTACTGGCTGGGCCAGCAGGGTAGCCCGTTTCCAAGTCACAGAGAAACGACTAACAGGGCAAAATGCACGACCTCCGGAAGTGCATGTAAAACGCAAAACGGGGTGGTGGGGGGAGGCGTGGGACGATTCCTGAGGGGGCTTTCCAGTGAACCACAGGCCGCCCGTCCCGCCCTGCTATCGGGGTGCACTCACCCAGTGGAAACCACAGATGTTAAGTCCAGGGATGCCAGGATCTGCTGAGCTTTCCCGCCACCAGCCGCAGCTGGCCCTGGAGGCCCCCCACCCCACGCTTTCGCCCTGACCTCATGCCCTCTCTCCTCCACCTGCCAAAGCTCTCCCAGCGTGTTGGATGCCCCACCCAGCAGCACTCTGCACACAGATGCTGGAAAGCTGTTTGCTCAAGTAAAGAGCCCACAGTAACTCCAGAGCAAGCACCGAGTCAAGCCACCCAGCCGCTGAGCCATTCATACCCCTCGGTGCTGATCTGGTTTCTGCTGCACCCAGGCCCTCTGCCAGCTTTCCTCCTTCCTCTCTGATTGCTTGTGTTTTACCCGCCCTCAAAGTCATCCGAGCCCCTCCAGCTGGGTCGGACCCCCCACTCCCACTCCTTGCCCTGGTTGCCCAGTATCTGCACATTCAGCCACACCCAGCTTCAGCCACTGCTGGTCTCCCGCGGACAGCATCACTCACAGTGTGATCTCCAGCCAGACTTGCGTTCTGCATCTGCTGGCCGAACGCCTGCCCGAACTACACTTGGACGTCTTGGAGGGCTCCTGACTTCACCCCAACTGCCCCAGGCCCCCCTCATCATCCTCTTTCAAGCTTGCAGTGCTCCCCATCTTAGTCGACGGCACTGACATCTGCCCAGAGGACAGTCAGGGGCCTGGGCCTCACCCACTGCCCCCACCCCATCCATCACCAGGTCCTGCTGATGTCACCCCAGAAACCTCTCTTGACGATCCATTCGCCTTCCCCCTGTTCACTGCCTGCACCCTAGTGCACACCACCATCACTTCACTAAGTTAGAGTCTGAGCCCCTCACCTGTCAGTCTCTGCAGTCGGCGTGAGAGCTGATGTGGCCACAGACCACTGGGAGGAACACACCTGGCTTTGCTCCCAGGGTCTCCTGCTCCAGCAGAATCCTGGGGTCCCAGGCCTTGTCTGCCGGAGAGGCGGTGAGCGGCGGCACATGGCTACTGCTCAATATGTTAATGAATACCTGCAAGGCTAATACTGGGCGTTACCCTGGGCATCTTGTTTAAAATGCAGGCAAATATGAAGGTGGCAATAACGGTCTAGATACGTAACTCTTTTCCATTATTGAGCTTAGAAAAAAGTGTACATATATAGAAATACAAGGAGATCTTAGAACTTTTAAGTCAATAATGGGTTCCTTTCCCTTCTCTGATCTGGTTATTCCTCAATTATTAATTTTAAAATCATTATTTTTGCCAGTATTTACATAACCAAGTAAACTAACAACTGGGTATGACAAGCTGAATCCTTTTTTTATTTATTTTTGGCTGCATTGGGTCTTTGTTGCTGTGAGTGTGCTTTCTCTATTTGCAGCGAGTGGAGGGCTATTCTTCATTGTGGTGTTTGGACTTCTCACTGCAGTTGCATCTCTTGTTGTGGAGCACGGGCTCTAGAGCGTGTTGGATCAGCAATCATGGTGTGCAGGCTTAGTCACCCTGAGGCGTGTGGGATCTCCCCAGGCCAGGGATTGAACACGTGTCCCGTGCGTTGGCAGGCGGATTCTTAACCACTGGACTACTAGGGAAAGTCCTAAACTGAATTCTTGAGAGTTATCTAATCTGATGAAAGCTGACACACCATATGCAAACTATAGTTTCATTTGCAAGTGACCCAGGTGAGGAAAAAAAAAAAATCTGGATATGAAACAGAATATAGTGTGAATCATATCTAATTTTAAATATTTTAATTTATATACTTTCATGATTATAGGTTCAATAAGAAATTCACTTTTCAGATTTTATTTCATTATAGAATATATTTGATAAGGATACATACAAACAGAATCATCTTTAATACATATTGTTTACTGGTGCCCGGCACTTCTGCAGCAGGCTGGAGATGTGATAAAAAATGCTTCCCAATGTTCAGCTTCATCAGCCACTCTAAACAACCAGTGCTGTAGAGTTGACGGTTCAATTCACGTACTTGCCTAGAACAAGTAAAAATCTTAATATTCGCCTTTAAGTCTGTTTATTACTCTTCTATTTTAAAATCTGAGATACATTCCCCAATGTAAACAATAGATTTCAATCTGTCACACAATCGAAATGGATAAGGCCTTCTTGACAACGTAAGCCACCTATTGCGTTACCCATCGGAGCGCAGTCTTAGTTCATAGTGTAACAGGCCGTCCATTCACAGAAGACAGGAAGAGAAGCTGCCTTCAGAACCTGGTGGAGCCTTCCAGAGTTCTCCCGGCCGCGGGTGATGGTACGCTAGAGAGAGACCTTTGTGACTTGGTCTACTTGGTCTTAAAATACAAATATACAATGTCCATAAGCATTAAAATAGTAAAGCCTAGCCTGACGTATTTATTAAGAATTGCTAAAATCCTATACAATACCATATCATGCCAATTAATATACAGAGGAAGGTGGTGAACTGTCTCCACCACTCACCCGGGCCTGTGAATGGGGGACAGAGGGGATGCGATTGGTGTAGCGTTAAGCGGCTGACTGCATGTGGTTAGGCAGACAGTCCAGGGACTCTGAAGTGCCTGGGTACCCTGCTGTAATAATTAAGTTAATCTGAGGCAGAATTTGCTTGACACGAGAAGAACCTGACCCCTTTTCTCACCAGCCTCCCAGAGGGACGACTGAACGAAACCTTAGAAAATGTCAACCAAATAAAGTCTTATTTGCATTTCCTGATTCAGTTGTGCAGATCAGTTATCCATTCTGTTCTCCATCGATTCATCCTTTTAGGACCAATTAATCAACAGTGATCATGATTCAGTACCTCGTTATCATAAATATTTGACTCAGCAAGCTCGATGGCGAGACACTAAAGCCTATATACAATCTTTGACAAAGGCATTCTGTGACCGTTTTTGAAGAGTTCATAGAAAAGCTACGAAGGATACGCCAGTCACTTCTCGATGTCACTGTAATGTAAACCGTGGCATCTTTTTTTTATATTAAATGTTTCATATATTGTACAACGAAAGAGAGACCTGAACGGCTGACCCGCTGTGACGCTCACCGATCCGCTAAGCTAAGGTAACCGGTAAAGGGCATGGTTTTCCTGAGGTTTTGTGAGGACGTTTCAAACAAAGCAGAAATCACAGTGACCGAGCGAGATGCGAGTCTGTGCCTCCCGGCCGTTCGGTGCCCCCCGTGGCTTGCCGGGACTACACGACCCGCCACTGCATGATACTTGTGTCTTTGCCGCCGGTGGAGATGAGGTGGCTGTCGTCACAGAGGAAGTCGACGTTGGTGACGTGACTACTGTGCCCAGTGTACACGTGGCTGGGAGCCTAGGAGAGACACGGAGGGCAGTGAACGCCAAGCTCGGGAGGAGGGTCAGAAGTGCTGGAGCCCCTGCATGTCGAGAGGCCGGTCCTGGGGGGGCGGGGGGCGGATGTGGGCAGGGGGAAGTTCAGCCCCAGAGGCTGCTGCGCCAGGCACCCCAAAGGAGCGGGGACTGGAGGCAGGGGTCGGGGCGGGGGTTGGAGGGGAGGAGGGGTCAGGTCTGGGGAGGACGAGGAGGGGTGGTCCAGGCATTGGCTCAGCTCAGCAGGGCTGGAGGAGAGGGAGCCGCGGTGGAGGGCAGAGGGGTGAGGCCCGGGAAGTGCAGACAAGGATGAGCCAGAACCACGCTGGGGACAGGGCTCTCTGCGGAGGGCAGTTGGGCCCACCCCCCAAGTGCTCTGGGGCAGTTGGCTGGTGTCTCCGCTGCCTGGTTTGTGCTGGGTGCTGCCACCCACGATGCCCTTCTATTCAACTACCAGCCGGCCAGCGGCGGGCAGTGCACCCTGTCAGGGGAGACCAGAGAAGGAGGCTCTACCCGGAACTGTGAGCAGGGGTAGGAGAACAGGTGCACTTTGCCGAAGTCATCGCCGGTTGACAGGAGTTTTTTCTCGTGGGCCCGAGAGGCGGCGTTGATGTCGGTTCCGTCCGAGCCCTCTGGCCACACTCCTAAAACAAAGACCCCAGACATGGCACTGGAAATACGAGGGCCACACTGCGTGGGGACTGGCCACTGAACTCCCACGAGAACAGAAATGTCCTGGATTTAGAAACCAGGCCCCAGGAATGCTTTGTCCTGGCTCCCAGCCTCAGTGACCATTTCCCTGCAGGCCACCCCTGGAAACCCCCGTGGCAAGGCCGGTTTTGCTGCATGACAGCTGCAGTAGTAGTCCTCTGGCTTCTACCTCTCTGGGTTCCCTTCTTGATGCTACAGCAGAAAGTGGGACAGAGTCCCTGGTTCTGGGCACAGTGCCTTTCCTTTATGCCCAAAGCACCTGATGGGAAGCTGACTAGTCCTCAGCCTGAAGTTTCATGACTTTTCTTTTTTGGGGGTAACTCTTTACATATGAGAGCCTCTCCAAAGGACTTTTAACTTCTGAGACTGCCTGTGCCTTTCAGGTGTTCCTCGGTGTCAGCCCTTCATGGCTGCTGCCTGCCTGGTGGACTCGGTAGGTGAGGAGTGCCCTGGGGTCTTCTGATCATGGCTCCAAAAAACCCTATTAGTCCCAGTAACGTTGGATATGAGAGAGTTGCACGCACGTGGCTTTCTCAATAGGATGTCTGGAGTAAACCCAGGGCATTCTAGCATTTAACACCAAAAGACGGTAAAACACCAGCTATAAGGGAACTTGTGAAATTCTGACCGACTTACTGACTTATGGTCATACATAAAAAACTCTAAGTACTGCCTTTTCTTTTTCATACTACTAAACTGTGGCAATTTATTTTAGATCATTTGTGAATAATTTAAACTTTGAAGGAGGTAAAGAAAATTAGTTTAAGGGTCAAAAAAACACAATCACTCTAACAAGTGACAAATAAATTGGGTGCCATCTGGTTCATTGGGCTTCCCAGGTGGTGCTAGTGGTAAAGAATCCGCCTGCCAGTGCAGGAGACATAAGAGCCGCAGGTTGGATCCCTGGGTTGGGAAGACCCCCTGGAGGAGGGCATGGCAACCCACTCCAGTACTCCTGCCTGGAGAATCGCCATGGACAGAGGAGCCTGGTGGGCCTACAGTCCATGGGGTCACAGAGAGTCGGATATGACTGAAGCGACTGAGCCCACACGTACATCTGGTTCATTGATCTCAGAAGTCTGACACAACCTCGTATACGAGGGTTCTACAGAATTCTCTCAGGACCCATTGTGTACAAGAGAAAAGGGCTCTGGTTCTTCTTGCCTGGCCATAGCTGGACAAGCCTGGCCCTTCCCCAGGGCAGCAGGGAGTGTGTCCTGAGTCTGTGGGGTCCATGCACGGCAGAGCAGTTTGAAGCCAAGCAAGAAATTCCCTCACTATTGGAAAGTCATTCTCAAAGGAGACACACCTTATGCTGGAACGGAACAAAAGGTGCAGAAACCTTACCGAAGACGTGGAACCCCAACGTGCAGGTGTATGTGGCCCACTCGATGTCTCTCGTGGTCTCCACACTCACGACTTGCTTACAGGCAGAAGGAACCCCTGGAAGGGCAGATGCAGGTCTGGTGACATCCAGGCCAAAGCCCTCCACCTCCCCGGGCAAGGCTGGGCCCCATCAGTTACAGAGCCTTCTGGGAGAGGGACGCCGTCCACCTCCCAGCCCCCTGGGGACCGTGCTCACAGCCTAAGCCCTGAGGCCTCGGAGGGGACCCCTCTTTCATTTCTTCCATCTCTGCTCATCTCCTTCTCTGGGTCTGTTCCCCTGTCTGGCTTCTTTTCTTTGATCACCTCTGGTTCTGAGACCTCCGTCTGCTCACTGTCCTCCTGGACACAACCACGCCCCCTTCTGTCAGGCTTCCAGCCTTCTCCCAACACACGCTTGGGCACAAGTGTGCGCCTATGCACACACATGCACAAACACACACATGCGTGCATGCACACACAATCCTTTCAGCTCTGAGTTATGAAAGCTGACGGAAACCAGTCATAAGTACCTGTGACCTCACAGGTGATTCGTGTATTCCTCAACTAAACTCTCGCTGAAGGAGTATGAGACCATTTTGAGAAGATTCTAGACCCACAGCCCGTCCCTGGAAACCATCCCTCGGTTCTGCCCTGAATCAGGCAGGGCCGCCTGCTCCACCCAAGGGAGACCCCTTTCCTCCTCTCTCTCTCAACAGGGGGGTGCCCACCTCCCCACCCACTGGCTCTTGATGTCTGCGCCCTTGTATCTGAGCTGGTATGTCTTTGTCTTCGAAACAGAAAAAGCCAGAACGTGCTATGGGTCACCTGAGTGTGTGTGGGTGAAGCACACTGCTCTTCTCAGTACCTTCCGGTGGGGCGGACACCGGACCCCCTCTGCCCTGTGACCCCCGTGCTCAGTACGTGGCAGGTGCCTGACAGATGGTGGGGGCACCAGTGAACGGCACGGAGCCTTCACTGCTCATCACCTGCAGGTGGCCCGGCCCCGCCTGGGGTGCCTGACAGATGGCGGGGGCACCAGTGAGTGGCACAGAGCCTTCACCGCTCATCATCCGCAGGTGGCCCGGCCCCGCCTGGGCTCTGACTTGGCCGGGAGGGGAGTGTCCTGGGGGCTGCCGTCCACCCAGCGGGGCCGACTTCATGGTGTCAGCTGGGAAGGGTGATGCCTTCACAGGCTCTCGCCCTCTCGCTGGCACAGCTCTGACCCGTCTCTGTGCCTCTCCCTGCAGGGCCGGGTCTTCCCCTCCTCGGGGCCCGATCCCCAAGTATCTCAGTGCCAAGCAGGGGCTTATCCAGTCTGTCTCCTCTGCCGAGCAGAGGAGGAATTGAAGCCGAGAAACACAGGCAGGCGGTGGGTTTCTGCAGGAGGCCCCATGTGGAGTCAGAGTGAAGCTCCGGGGGATCTGCACCCGGGCCAGGCCTGGGGAGCCACTCACAGTAGAGGATTTCGTAGTCTCCGGAATTCGACACGAGGAACTGTGAGTTGACAGACCAGTCCAGGTGGGTGATGAAGCTGGAATGACCCTGGGAGAGGGAAAACTGGGTGAGCCTCACTCGCCTCACAGATTCCCACCCACGCTGACCGCACGTGTTGAATGACCGCAGAGACCCACGAGGAGTGACCCGCGTGCTCACCGAGCACTTGCCGACCCGCGTGTACTTCCTCCCGTTGTCACTCACTCCGTATATGTAGATGCAGTTGTCGTGGGAGCCTATTGCTAAGAAACTCCCATCTGCAAAGACACGCAAGGTTACGCTTCATTCGTTAAGAATAGCCGTTTTATCAGTGGCAAAGGATAATGCTAGTGGCCATCACAGATGTAGAAAAAATAGCCATGAATTATTTCAAAGAGACAGTATTGCTTTTGAATGAATCCGATACCCCTAATGATGGTAATTCAGTCTTAGCCAAGTATTACCAAGGACTAAAATCGCTTTTTCCAAGAGCGTCCACATAGCTGAATGTCCCACTGATCACAGAGAAAGAGTGCTTCCTGAAGCACAAACATAAGTGATGAAGCTTAGAAACAATATCCTACCTAGTTGTTTAGTCACTCAGTTGGGTCTGACTCTTTGCGACCCCGTGGATTGTAGCCTGCCAGGCTCCTCTGTCCATGAGATTTCTCAGGCAAGAACTCTGGAGTGGGTTGCCATTTCCTTCTCCAGGGGATCTTCCTGGACCAGGGATCAAACCTGCATTTTCTGCATTGCAGGCAAATTCTTTATCATGAGCCACCGGGGAAGCCCCTTACAGCACCCATTTGCCATGAGCATTTCTAGCAAACATGTTGTCAGAAAGACTCAGGAACCAACCTGAAGTGGCCAATGATGGATAAATTGTTTCAGCTACCATAACCATCACAGATTGAAACATACCAAATACACTTAAGTTCATAATGGCACCGAAGCTACCACCACTAACAACAACTGGTCATTGTTAAAGCGAACGGAGAACAAACTCATTATCTTGGAAACTGGTAAATAAAGTGAAAGAAACCGAGCATCTATCCCGACTTCCTCTGTGAACTCTGCCATACATCTCAGCCATACTAACAAAATACTGTCCTAAAATGCTGTCTAGGTAACAAAAAGGTATTAATATTATGGATGAAGAGAAGTCAGTCTTCACAGATGTATTATATCTGATAAATGAAGAAAGGCTAAAATAGGAAAACCAATCATCAGCCTCCGTTGAGGGATCGAGGTGTTGTGCATCGATGGCTCTAAAAGCACAGAAAGCAGACTCATGAGTCTCCGGTAGGAGCAAGAGACCCGGATGCACTGAGCCGGAAGAAGGTCTGGATGCCGAATGACTTTACAGGAAATACGGGGACAGAGGGACGTGTGGGGACGGGGGGACGTGTAAGGATGGATGGACCTGTGAGGACAGGGGGATGTGTGAGGATGGATGGACCTGTGAGGACAGGGGGCTGTGTGGGGACAGGGGGACGTGTAAGGATGGATGGACATGTGAGGACAGGGGGCTGTGTGGGCACAGGGGGATGTGACGTGTGAGGACAGAGGGACATGTGAGGACAGGGGGATGTGTAAGGATGGATGGACGTGTGAGGACAGGGGGATGTGTGAGGACAGGGCGTGTGTGAGGGCAGGGGGATGTGGGAGAATGGTGGGACATGTGAGGACAGAGGGACATGTGAGGACAGGGGGACGTGTGAGGATGGATGGACATGTGAGGACAGGGGGCTGTGTGGGGACAGAGGGACATGTGAAGCATAGAGATGCACTCAGCAAAACCCAGGGTGTGGAAATTGCTCGGGGAAAAATGAGCTTCTTCACCACATAAACCACAAGCAAGGATGGTGCGTGTGTCAGAGAGAGAGAGAGAGAGAGAGAGAGAGAGGCAGAGAGACAGAGAGGGAGGGAGGGAACATCTATGGATTAAAAAAGACTTACGAGTACAAAAGGGGCTTCCTTGATGGCTCAGATGGTAAAGAACCCGCCTGCAACGCAGGAGACGTGGGTTCGATCCCTGGGTTGGGAGGATCCCCTGGAGAAGGAAATGGCAACCCACTCCAGTGTTCTTGCCTGGAGAATCCCATGGACAAGAGGAGCCCGGTGGGCTACAGTCCGTGGGGTCACAACGAGTCGGACAGACAGAGCAACTAACATGAGTACAAAATGGACGTGTGATGACTTCCCTGGAGGACCAGCAGCTGGGACTCTGCTTTCACTGCCAAGGACTTGGGTTCATTATCTGGCCAGGAGGCTAAGATCCCCTGAGCTGCTTGGCATGGCCAAAAAAACACCAAAACCCAGCCAAAATTGACATATGATCAATGTTCTTAGCATTATTCATAACAGCCAAACACAGAAACAATCCCATGTTCTCTGTTAAATGGACAAACCACACATGCTGTATCCATAAAATGGGGTGCCATCTAGACATCGAAAGGGAGTAAACTACTGATACATTTACATGAATAATCTCACAAACATTATTCTAAATAAAAGAAGCCAGATGCAACAGGCTACGTGCTGTAGGACTCCATTGATAGGAAATGCCCAGAAAAGGCAATTTATAGACACAGAACAGCAGATCCACGGTTGCCTAGGGCTGGGGCTGGGAGTGGAGATGAGTTACCAATGGGCAGGAAAGGAACTTTCGGGGGCGATGGGAAGGTTCTAAAACTGGATGGTGGTGATGGCAGCACCGCTGTACAGATTTACTAAGAACCACTGACTAGTACATTCATGGTAAACTGCTGTATGTAAATTATACCTCAATAAAGCTGTTAAAAAGTCCTCATCTTTTTTAGATTTCTCTCTCTCCATATAAACATATATATATATATATATACATATATATATATACATATATATATATATAGTTGACTCCACCATGCGTCTTACGGGATCTCACTTCCCTGACCAGGCACTGACCCTGGGCCCCGGGTAGGGAGAGCCCAGGGTCCTGACCACTGCGCCACCGGGGGAGTCCCCAGATCCCTCTATATAGTAACAGTAACAGATGAAAGGATAAGATGTCTGGGACCCGGCTTCAGAAGCAACATGGGAGGGGCCACGGGGTGAAGCTATGGGTGAACAAATGGCTAAACGCTGAAGCTGGGGAATAGGTACATGGAACTCACTACGCTATTCTAATTTTGTCCATGCTTGAAAGTTTCCATAATAAAGAGTTAAAAAAACACAACACCACCCAAGCAACCTGCTCCAAAAGCATCTGTCAAGAAGGCCTGAGTGGGGACTTCCCTGGCAGTCCAGTGGTTGGCAGTCTGCCTGCCAACGTGGGGACCTGGGTTCAGTCCCTGGTCAGGAAACTAAGATCCCACACACATGGGGCAACTAAGCCTGTGCACCCCGGAGCCTGTGCGCCATAACTAGAGAGAAGTCTATATGTGCCTCAGTGAAAGATCCTGATTACTGCAGGTGGACCTGATGCAGCCAAATAAATAAATACTAAAAAAAAGCATGAGTGCATGAGAAGCTATTATAAATGTTAACATGGTTCTTCGTGACACGCTGAAACAGATAAAACCACACAAGCATAATGCTCCAAAGGAGGGAGGGGGAGAGCCCCCAGGCGCCACAATTATGTACAGATGTACTGTAAATTTCACTCTGGAGGGGGCTTGTGAATGTTTTTCTTTAGAGGCATCTATGCAGGGCTTTATCTCTTGGAGGTTTACAGTGAACGGTCCATATTCTAACCTGGTGAGTAACGCATCACGGAGAGCTGTTCGTTTCCATCCGTGTGGACTGTGACCAAGTCTTTTGTTTCTGTGTCAAACACGAACCACCTGTGTAAACAGGAGGAAAAGTACAAATCAGTTGTTTAGTGAGAAAGTGAAGTCAGACCATGACAGTCACAGCCAGGCTATTAGAAACTATTAAGAGCTTAAAGATGCTCTGTATTTGCTTAACAAGAACACTTATTCCCAGCTTTCACTTAAAGAAAATTTCCTGCATGTCAACATTTCCGAAAGGAGCAGCTTACTGGCTACTGACGTTATGGCTGCTGCTGCTGCTAAGTCGCTTCAGTCGTGTCCGACTCTGTGCGACCCCATGGACTGCAGCCTACCAGGCCCCTCCGTCCGTGGGATTTTCCAGGCAAGAGTACTGGAGTGGGGTGCCATTGGCAGGGCTCCTCAATGTTTGAGTTTTGTCACTTACATATGGAAGGAGAGAAAACCCTGGGCAGGGAAGATGGACCAGCATGTAACCCCGGGCCTGTGGCGAGAGCAAGTGGCAAATGGGCCACTGCACAAGCTTACCCTGAGATCTGGCCCGGGCCAGGCAGAAAGGGTCCAGCAGGCTGGGGCCGGAACAACCTCAGGCTGACGCAAGCAGAGCTGGGCCAGCCTCTGACCTTCTGCGATGCTAGTGTGCAACCAGCAGGTGAAAGAAACAGCCCAGAGGATGGCAGAAGGGCGAGCAGAGGACTGGTCTTTGAATTTAGCTCCTCTGGGCTCAGTTCCCTCGACTGTAAAATGCAGGAAAGGGCCCAGAAACGGCTTTGCAGGCTCAGGATCCATCAGTTCAATTATAACTGGACTTGGAAGTGCTCCGGATCCTCTAATCCGGACACGGTGCTCGGTCAGTGTGTGAAATGGTGCTGAGACTGAACTCTCCTGCCTGTGTGTTCTCAGGTGGTGGCAGCAGTGTTTCCAGGGGTGGAAAGGAACAAGGGCGCCCTGCTGCGGCCACTTCAAATGTTGACGCCATCCATTCATCAGCGTGTCCGCTGAGCCAGTGTCACGATCCCCTCGGGGCCCTCATCAGTCCCACTCAGTGGGGCTGGTTGACCCCGACACCTGGATTTGGCTTCTCAGCTTTGCTTCCTTGCGACTTTGTGCTTTGGTGTTAGTCACTCAGTCCTGTTCAACTCTGCAACACCATGAACTGCAGCCCTCCAGGCTCCCGTCCGTGGGATTTCCCAGGCAAGAATACGGGAGTGGGTTGCTATTTTCTTCTCCACATTTATCTTTAATGTGCTATCTAACCTGAACACAGGTCAGAATATAAGAAGCAGAGAGACTGTGGGGACTAGCTATGCCTCTAAATGCCGTGTTAAGCTTCCCCACTGAGAACTAAGCCTGGGACCAGGACTAGAGGTGGGGGAAGCATGAACTGAGGGGAGGGGTTAGTCTGCGTGTCCACTCTCTTCCACCCGCAGGACACCGTCTGCGATTCTGACCACCTGGCCTCGTCCCATGCTCTGTCCTGCCACAGAGTCAGCATGCAGCTGATGACAATAACTGGCTGGCGGCCATTCACCAGAGCCTGCTGAGTCAGAAGCTTCGTCTCTAAGAGAGGTCAGAGGAGTGTGCGTGTGCGTGTGTGTGCATGTGTGCATGCACGCGAATGTGGCTTTGCAGAATTCATGAAGAATTCTGTTGGATAGGTGCTCAGCTCTCAAGATGCTGCCACCTATGACTTATGAGTGGTTACTCTTTATACACAAGCTACAGTCCTAACAACATAATCTAAGTGGTATGCTCTCTTTTGAAGCATGTACAATGCATGCTGTACAATATTGTATAAGTTACAAGTATACAATATAGTGACTCACAGTTTTTAAAGCTTATACCCCATTTATCATTATTATAAAACATTGGCTACGCTCCCCATGCTGTATCACATATCCCTGTAGCTGACTTTACACTGAATAGTTCGTGCTCTTACTCCCCAAGCCCTGTTTCCCCCTGCCCACTTTCCGGTCCTTAAGTGGTACACTCTTTGGAGAGCAGGAAAGCACTAATAGTATATCAATCAAGCGATAGTAAGTGTAGACAGTATGACAAACAATATAAAAGTACAATCAAATCTTATAAAACAATGACAATAATAACCACCAAAGTTGCCTGCCAGGCAACCCCAGGAGCCGATTCATATACCATCTCCCTTAATCATCAGTGTTTGGCGAGCCACATAGATTGCCACCATTCTCAGAGGAAGCAACAAGCTCAGAGGTCACGTAACTGGCTCAAAGACACACTGCAGCTAGGTGGTGAAGCTGGGATTCAGGCACAGATCTGCCGCCCAGCATATCGGAGGCACTTGGCAAGTGAGGGTGAGCTGAGTCAAACACGAGGCTCGGGGACTGGGCAGTGTTTAAAATTTTGAGAGGCAGCAGGAAAAAGCATCATAAACCCCTCAATGCTTTGACACCAGGAGCCCCACAACCGTCTGTACATGGGGGTGGGGCCTCCTCCGGGAGAGGGGACCACAGCCAACTTTAGGTTCTCCCAAGGTCCGAAACGGGAAGGACCACTGTCTCAGGTTTCACTGCCGAGTTCTGACGTTAATTCCTCGCCGGTCATTAGACGTTGGGCGAGGCAGCCAAGGGCTACCCTGACAGGTCGCTGGGGAAACACAGACAAGAAGCCTCTTTCCCGTGAACTCTGAAAGCACACGCCACATCGACACGCACTTACCTCCCAGTCAGTGTTCCGACTGCAACCACAGACCCTGAAGGATGAAAACCAGAAGACTGAGCTGGATCCTAAAATGTTGTAAAGGAAGTGTAAATTGATGGCCAGACACAGTGCGATTACATAAACACACACAAGCACAGCTCTAATCCCTTAGGGCTACTTGGCCCTATTTAAAAAAAAAAAACTTTTTTTTTTTTCTTCTCCAGAGAGGAAAACGTTTTCCTACTTTAATGGAGGTCATGTCTCAAAAATAATACAATTTTATCCTTTTATAATTTTTCTTTTGTCTTAAGTTTTTTAAAAAAATTTTTGACTGCATCTCTTGCCATGAGGGATCTCAGTTCCCTGAACAGGGATTGAACCCACGCCCCTTGCAGTGGAAGAATGGAATCCCACCCATTGGACTACCAGGGAAGCCTCTCTCATTCTACCTTCAAAGTAGAAAGTGAAAGTTGCTCAGTCATGTCCAACTTTTTGTGACCCCATGGACTATACAGTCCACGACATTCTCCAGGCCAGAATACTGGAGTGGGTAGCCTTTCCCTTCTCCAGGGGTTCTTCCCAACCCAGGGATTCAACCTAGGTCTTCTGCTTTGCAGGTGGATCCTTTACCAGCTAAGCTACAAGGGAAGCCCAAGAACACTGGACTGGGTAGCCTATCCCTTCTCCAGTGGATCTTCCTGACCCAGGAATTGAACTGGGGTCTCCTGCAGTGCAGGCGGATTCTTTACCAACTGAGCTATGAGGGAAGCCCATTCTATCTTATATCCTTTCATATCTACAGTAATGAGACGACAGATCAACAAAGACATGCTCTTCCTTCAAGTCTTGGAAGTCCCTTTGGTTGACCCCGTGCTGAATGGGAAGTGTGTGCTCCATCTGTCTGGAAATATGACCCTTGCACCCAAGGCCATCAGGTCAATGCTGGATGAGCACCTCCCACTGTGTGCAGGACCAGAGGATCTCAAGATGAGTGAGGCACATGCCAGCCTTAGCGCTAGTGAGACACGTATGTGTTTGTTACTAACAAGGTGGAACAAGGCTGATGGGAGAAATAAAACACCATGGAGAGGGAGCACTAGGTGAAGTCAGATGGGGGAGCTGGGCTGAGGCGTGCTGGTGCTGGGGGCCTTTGACTCAGGCCTCCTGATATCGGAAGAACTGCCAATGGTAAAGGCGGACGTGCACACAGCAGCATTTATTTGAATGGGGCCTTAAGGGGACAAGAGCACGATCCAGGACATAGAAGCAACACAGTCTGGAGCATTTTTGAGGAGTGAAACGCAGAGTGCTGGAGAAGCCTTGAGAGACCCTTGGACTGCAAGGAGATCAAACCAGTCAATCTTAAAGGAAATTAGTCCTGAACGGTCACTGGAAGGACTGATGCTGAAGCCGAAGCTCCAATCCTTTGGCCGACTGATGGGAAGAGCCGACTCGTTGGTAAAGACCCTGATGTTGCATAAGCCCGAGGGCAGGAGGAGAAGGGGGTGACAGAGGATGAGACGGCTGGATGGCATCACCGATTCAATGGACATGAATTTGAGCAAGCTCTGGGAGACAGTGAAGGACAGGGAAGCCTGGCAAGGTGCTGTCCATGGGGTCACAAAAAACTGGACATGACTTAGCAACTGAACAACAATAACAAGGGAGAGCCATTGGTTTTTCAATGCAGGACCTACAGAGTAGGGAGCGGGAAATCATATGGATGATGCTAGTAATGTGGGCCGCACAGCCAGGACAAGGACTGTGGCCAGAGGAAAACCACAGTGAGAGGGACTCTTTCCTTTCACTGAAAAGAGTGATGTGATTGAATCAGCATTTCAGATGCCTTGGTAGGAGTACTTGGGTTGAAGTGAATTGAAAAGAGATTAATCAAAGTAAGACCAAGAAAGCAGTGACCCTGGATGTGGAAATGGAAGGAGGTATTGATATACCACCGGATAAACTGGAAGAAAAAGAAAGAGAGACAGGAAGGAAACTCTGTGGGGACTGATCATATTGTGTGCTAAGTCACTTCAGTCATGTCCAACTTTTTGTGACCCCAGGGACTATAGCCCACCAGGCTCCTCTGTCTATGGGATTCTCTAGGCAAGAATACTGGAGTGGGTTGCCAATCCCTTCTCCAGGGGATCTTCCTGGCCCAGGGATCGAATCCACATCTCTTATATCTCCTGCACTGGCAGGTAGGGTTCTTTACCACTAGCACCACCTGGGAAGCTGGGTTACTTTCCTGCGATGCTTTCCCAAAGTGGGGGCCGTGATAAAGCTCAGGGCCTCCATAGACAGAAATCACGTGCACGGGAGGCTTTACTGTGCAGCTCATTTGAGGCTTATAAGTTTTGAGAGGAAGATACTTGAGTGCGTCTGCCCAGTCACACGGCCAGGGCGTAAAGGAGCTAGGGCTCAAGATCTTGGTGTCTGGTTCAGTGCTCGTGCTGTGATGGTAGGCTGGGTGGGTTGACAGCCTGGTGCTGGAGTGGCCGGAACGCCTTTCAGCCGGGCTGCCGTGTGGACCCAGGCCGCAGGGAAGGTCACTCTCCCGGACCACTGTTGTGGATTCCTGGTTACCAGCTGTGCACCAACCCCTCTGGTGCCACAGTTATCTCCCCACGGCCCATCATCCCAGTGCTCAACATCCCCAGGGGCCAGTCACCTCCATCCACTCGCAGATCTTCTCCAAGCGGGAAGGGCTGAAACATGGACCCAGCACAGGGAGAAGTGCTGGCGACTCCATGGGTATCGAGAGGACTCGTGGCGGGGTCTGCAGAGGGGCTGCCCCTCACCCAGGCTGTCGTGTATCATGAGCGGTGCAAGCAACACGGGAGGTGCTTTGAGTCACTACAGATGCAGCAGAAGACCTTGGCGTCAGGTGTGAACTGAGTGTGGTGTAAACACTGACCTTGCCAAGCCATCTGACTTCTCTAAGCTCCAATCTCCTAATCACTAAAATCAAGGTTAAAAACTTCACCTTCCAAGGCTGCTGTCAGGATGAGCAGTAACATATGTGCAATGCTCAGTATGCAAATAGTGCTCAATAAATGCTGACACTGCTGCGTGGCACGTAGGGAGAGGATCCTTTAGCACTCTGATGTACGACTGGAGTTCCTTTGCAAACTCAGAGATGCACTGACTTTAAACTTGACCTGTACCATCAAACTCAAAGTACAGAGATAAACTGGATGCTGTTAGAACAGCGAATCCATTCCCATCAAAAGGTGTTCTGTAAATAGAATACAGGCTCCTAACAAGGGTTCCTCAGCTTTTCAGCCAGAAGAGACTGCACTCAGGAAACCCAACAACCAATCAGAAAGGCTTATGTGCTGTCTGAAAAAGCACCGGTAAACCAGAAATACATGAATGAGACCCCTTGAGGTGGTGTTTAAAGCAATGCAATTTGAAGGCGATAAATTAAGTGACACTTTCTTTGGGACAAATTTATATCACCATTAATCTCATGCAAAAAATAAAAATAAACCGATGTGTTGCGGATGAATTTTTTAAGAAAGATGGAATAGAACATGCAGGTCCACCTCTATAATTTTGTCCCAGACGGGCCGGTGACCAACTGCGTCCCACAGGGTGGCATGCCTGTCGTGCCCACAGGTCAAGAACTGAGGTTTTGAGGCATGGATGGCCAGTCCCCAGAGCTCATCGGTGTGACCCTACAAAGAACAGAGACAAATGGACGCCCTCTGAAATATTACCACCAGCACTCGGGGGCCCGACAGAGCAGCACGGCTCACCGCAGGCTCTGGAACTGTTCCCATCTGTTTCTCTTCCTCCCCCTGAAGCTGAGGGAGGGGATGTTAATATAAAACACAGGAAGAATCGCCTCTTTGTAATGCTGTCTTATGCAAGTGAAAGCGTTAGTTGCTCAGTCGTGTCCGACTCTCTGTGACCCCATGAACTGTAGCCTGCCAGGCTCCTCTGTCCATGGGATTCTCCAGGCAAGAATACTGGAGTGGGTTATCATTCCCTTCCCCAAGGGATCCTCCCGGCTCAGGGACTGAACCTGGGTCGCCTGCATTGCAGGCAGATTCTTTGCCATCTGAGGCAACAGGGAGGCCCTGTCTTATATTCTACTATTACACAACATGAAGGTGTTTGATGGATTTGTTGAGCTGATGCCTACCTGAGTGATGGGTGTGAAGTCCCCCGACAGCGTGCCCTGCAGAACAAAGTTTCTGGTCGTGCCTATCAATATCACATCGCCTTTTCCTTCGGCCACTGTCCGTATGGGGCCAAACTGTTCTGGAATCTGCATGGAAAAGATTTCAGGTGTCATTAAATTACTAGTTCCATCATTCAAAATACTTGTTTACTTATCATAATGACAGCTCCTGTCATAATGACACACACACACATATAACAAGGAGACAGAGAAAGTACTTGAGTGAATGATCCAAACCCCAAATCGTATGTTTAAACTCCAAACATTTTATATTCCTTAAAAGAACGAGCAAGAGTAAGGTTGTAAAAAAGAGGACCAGCTGGGTCCTCTGTGGTGACTTAGATGGGTGGGATGGGGGTGGAGGGGTGGCAGGGAGGTCCAAGAGGAACGGGACGTATGTACAGGTGATGCTGATTCCCTCTGTTATACAGCAGAAAACAACACAACGTGGTAGAGCAATTATACTCCAACTGGGAAAAAAACTACAATGAGGCACTTTTTTCTGGACAAGATAAAAAAATAATAAATACTACTGGGCAGTTTACTCTTTACTTGTTATGACTTCTGCTAGCAGAAGCAGGTAATATTTATGAAGTAAGGAATATGTAACATGCTGTAATAAGAGTTCCTAAAAATTTATTGTAACTTGAAATGATAAATCTTTTGGCAACTTTATTTAGTTTTGAAATCCACTGCTCATGTTAGTACACATGTGATTAAGTGTTAATAAAAATGATTTCAAAATACATCATTCAAGAACAATTTGCTATGATAAAATAAGCAGAGATTCTTGTACTTTTTCAAAGGAACAAAAATCACAGCCTGGGGTCGACTTCAGGCACTGTGGTTCTGGGACAGTAAAGAGTGGTCCATTTTCATACAAACTTTTTACCAGTGGGTTAACACAGATCTGAGAAAAGATGATAACAATCTATGCTGATAAAGGATTATAGATACTTAAAAATGGTGAGTATTTTTTATAATACTAGATGAGGCTTTGGACTATTTCTTAGGATTGCAATGCTACTTGGGTTCAAAAAAATGCTGGTCAAATCTTATTATAAAAAATGCTACCACAATTAAAGTCTCCATGAAAAGAAAGTGATTTCCAAAACTCAGACGAAGGCCTTTCTTCATGAAGAACAGTAATCAGCAAAACAAAATTCTCACACTGTCAGAGCACATGTGATGCTGTCCTCTGATGTCATTGTGTTGCGGGCATCTGACTCAGAAAGCTATGGTGTTTCCAGCAGTCATGTGCGGATGTGAGAGCTGGACCATCAGGAAGGCTGAGCGCCGAAGAACTGATGCTTTTGAGCTGTGGGGCTGGAGGAGACTCTTGAGAGTCCCTTGGACTGCAAGGAGATCCAACCAGTCCATCCTAGAGGAAATCAACCCTGAATATCCACTGGAAGGGCTGATGCTGAAGCTGAAGCTCCAATACTTTGGAGCTGGAAAAGACCCTGATGCTGGGGAAGATTGAGGGCAGGAGGAGAAGGGGGCGACAGAGGATCAGATGGTTGGATGGCATCACTGACTCAATGGACATGAATTTGAGCAAGCTCTGGGAGATAGTGAAGGACAGAGGAGCCTGCATGCTACAGTCCATGGGGTTTCAAAGAGTTGGACACAACTTAGCAACTAAGCAACAATAAAGTTCTACAAGGTGTCCACACTATGCTCGAGAGGAAGATCCTCAACTTTCAGATTGAGGCCAACCTTGATTTCTGTCTGCTCATAATTTCCCAGGGCCTGGGAAAGGAAATTCAGACAGTGTGTAGAAGGAATATTGAATTTCTTGCCTCTGCCTCCTACTGGAGTCCAGGGTTGCTAATTAGGTAATAAGGAGGTGAAAGAAATGCCAAAAGAAGTCAAAGCTCTAGAGACAGTGTTGGTGTTCAGTCACGTTCAAAGCAGATACTCAGTAAATATTGGTTCCAAGTGATGATGTCTCCAAAGCAACATGCTGGCAATTACAGGGAAAAGACAATAAATATTTTAAGGGTTAATCAAAATGTCGATAATACTCCCTTGTAAGATTGCTTCTATGATAATACTCTAGACGTTGAAATGTGACCACCTCACATTTTATAAATCGAATTCCATTTTAGTAAACTGCCTTTATGATTCTATATAAAATGTTCCCCCATTTCGTAAAATTTTATCTAAACTGTTTTCAAAGCAGAAGATTTCAAACTCATAAGGAAACTGGTTGACATAACAGTTTAAGGTTCAAAACGAGTGTCAGCAGTGTGACGTGCTGTCTCACCTCGGTTTTATGAAGCTTCTGGTAATTTCCATCCCAAGAAATGAGCTTGCGGTCCTTCCCTCCTCCCGACACAAGCGTGCCGTCCCTTAACATACAAAGTGCGAAAATACCGCCCTCGTGGGCCCCTGGAACCGCGTAGCTTATTCGATTCGTACCTAAACACAATGAGAAAACCACGCTTAGGACGCTGTCCAAGGGCTCACCTCTGCCCATCTCATTTTTGTTTTAAAACGAGATATTATCAGTTAGAACATCAATGCAGTGTGAATCTATAAAGGATTCAATTTCTGCATGTTCTCAGAGCAGTAGACAAACATGAGACAAGCGTGGAGAAGGAAATGGCAGCCCACTGCAGTATTCCTGTCTGCAGAAGCCCATGGACAGAGGAGCCTGGCGGGCTACAGTCCACGGGGTCGCAAAGAGTCGGACACGACTAAGCGGCTATCACAGACAAACGTGAACTGGGTTCCTTTCTAACTAAAGAACACAGGGCAAGGGGGATGGGAGGGCGAACCGGGAGACTGGAGTCAGCAGACGTAAACTATCGCACATAGAATGGACACACAAGGTCCTGCTGCGGAGGAGCAGGGGACTGTACTCAATACCCTGACAAACCACAATGGAAAAGAATATGAAAAAGAATACACAGGGCTTCCCTGGTGGCTCGGGGTAAAGAATTCGATGCAGAATTCACCTGCCAATGCAGGGGACACGGGTTTGATCCCTGGTCCAGGAAGATCCCACATGCCTTAGAGCAAGTAAGCCCGTGCACCACAACTACTGAAGCCCGGGCGCCTAGAGCTGGGCTCGCAACAAGAGCAGCCACCATGCCACAGTGAGCCGGAGCTCCCTAGCTCGCCCCAGCTAGGGAAATGAAGACCCAGCACAGTCAAAAGAATAATAAAAAGGAGGATGTAGATTTATACGTGCAACTGAATCTCCTTGCTATAGAGCAGAAATGAACACAGCATTGTAAATCAACCGTACTTCATGAAAATAACTTAAAAAATAATAAAGGAAAACCTGCTCAGATGAAGCATATAGCGTGCGAGGAGTTCAGCCGCACCACACGTGGCTGAGAAATGAGCTGTGAGTCCCTGGACAACTGACCCGATCGCTCTGTCGCAGTTCCCTCCTCGGCGTCACGGGGCCACTGCCTTTCCCCTGCACTGTTCTCAGGGTGACCCGTGTGTCTGCAGGGCCCGTGGCACCCAGGGTAGCAGGGATACTACAAAGGTCACCGTGCTAACTGACCTCACCCTGGTGGCCCGGTTCCTACCTTCACCCCACACCCCAAACACTGAGGCCCTTGAGTACAGAGACGGTGCATTTTCTTGGTTTTCCTGGCCCACGGTAAACTCACTGAAAGGCTCACTGAACTCGACTCAAAGTGTTTTTGAGTCAGGAGTCCTCCCTGTCACACTGCTTGCCCACTGATGCCCACCTGACTCATCTGTACGCTCAGTGCCTGGCACACGGCTTCTGGCACATAATCAACACTCGGTCAACGTCTGCCAAGTGCTGTGTGGACCAGAGAAGCTAAACGCTGTAGAGCTAAATAGTCTTCGATGATTTCACCATTACGAGTTGTTATCAGATCTCCCCATAAAGCGATTAATTCCATTACAACGTCTTGGGCCTAAAGAACCTTTCAGAACAACAGGAGCCAACAGCTTACTAGTTCCATTTTTCTCTGTCCTAGTTTTTTTGATTCCAAGTTACACACACACACATATATGTAGGTACCTATGTATCTTGGAATCAAATAGTTTAAACTTGGAAATGGTATTAATGGAAAATTCTGATGGGAGCCACTTTGGGCTTCTCACTTAGAACATTACCCAAGAGTCTGCTTAAGGAGCATCGCTTGTTACCTTTTCCCCACACCAGGATGTTGCCACTTGAATCTCCGGTGATGGTGTCACCGTTTTCAGAAAAAGTCACACAGAGGACGAACTTTGGCTTTTCTTGCTTCTGCAGAATGTTTAAAAAAGAATATATATGTATGTAAGATCAAGGCATCCTTATGCTTGTATTAAGAACATGGAGAATCACAGGCACCCCAAGCTGGATAGTGTCAGCTGTTGCTACCACACTGCGTGCCTCTCCTTCTCCTCCACCATTATGTAAATTACGCCCTGAGATTATCTGGTCTGAAGTATCTGGTACTTACACGGCTGCAGGCTATTACAGCAGGGGAGGGTGTTGGAGTGGCCAAGAGGCGGTGTTGCCATGACTACACAGGATAAAGCAGTCCTCCAGCTCAGCCTCTGGGCCCACAGGGCATCAGGTGCCATGCTGGTGCTCTCATGAGGCCTCAGGTGCTGGGCTAAACGGCACCAAGGTTGCCCATCACCCACGGCAGACTCGCACTGCAGTCTCCCGGGCACCTTCTTCGTTGCTCTTTACCATCAGCAGGCCACAGTGAGGGCCGTGGCCCTCTGGCACCCTTTCCTGGCACTTGTCCCTGTGTTGGTCCTTCCTTATCAGCATCACCAGTGTCATCCATGCGGGGCTCCCCAACTCCGTCAGGGGTCTCCAGGAATAGTCTTTACCATGACACCCCCAGTTTGGCCAATTAAAACAAATTCTAAGGCTGCGATGTCTCAGAGCTTCCTTAAAAGCCAGGGGATCACAAGCACCACTGGTGAAAAATAAAATGAGATGCAATTTCACCTTACCTCAAATAATCCTTGCTTCTTAATAAGGGAGCTTCCTTCTAGCGTCCAGAAGTAGAGGTGGGACTTTCCACAGGTTACGATTATATTGGTGTCGGTGGGGTGGAAATCCGCAGCAAATACGGCTTCGTTTGAACACTTTGCACAAAACGGGAGAATCAGATGTCTCAGATCTCTTGAGACACTTAAGGAAATAAATAAAATCTGAACCACAAATAAGCAACTCAGGGTGAGCACCAGGCCTCCTGATACTTCCGCCCTCCCCCGAATTCATCCCTAGTCACTGAACTTGTGTCTGTGTGTGCCGACACCTCTCCTTGTCTGTTTCCCTCACTGGGCCCTGCGGACAGGACCTCAGAGTCTCCTTCTGCACGAGGACTCTCGGGACCTGCCATGGAGCAGGCACAGAGCCACGCTCTGGCCGAAGGAGAGGCTGGGACTTAAGAACTGCAGGTCTCAGCCTCATCGAGTGATGGCAAGGGCCCCGGAACCTGGATTTTATTCAGCTCCACCACTCCTGGCCCACTCTGGCTGCCCTCTTTGCCTGGTTCTGATCCCCAGGACTCTGCTGGTAGCTGGAGTCCAGAAGGGGAGTGGGCTCTTTGGCTATCACTTCACCAGCCTCACCCTGTTATCAGCGTTCATGACGTGCACCCTGTTCCCGTGAATCTGACCCTGACTGCTCCTTCTGCTTGATAATTCAGTTAGACATTCCTGAGCCTAGACAATAACTTGCTCTGATTACTTCCAACTAAAGACACAGCAAGAACTGAAATACTTGAGCAAAACACAGAGGCACAGCTATAGTATAAAAACAGGTGTGCTCACGCCCTGTTAGAATACAGTCTGCATCCCCCCCCCCACACAGGAAAGTTCTGTAAACCAGGTAATCCACTGGAGCTCTTAGTGACAGGTAGCTCAGGTGACCTAGTGGTGGTCCTACGGTTAGGTCAGTAAGGGGATCGAAGGCTAATGGATGCCAGGGTGAGGAATCTGAAGTCATTTCTATAAAAACAGACCCAATCATGGTTTTAACAGGATGAAAGCACAAGAGAGCTTAAGGAAACTTCACTGACATATTGGGAAGTTCAATGGATCCCCCTGCAGCACCCCCTCCCCACTGGGAGGACCAAGATCCCGCTCCCCCTTCCTGAGTCCACTCAGCTCTGGACAAGCTTCCCTGATCCCCGGATCCCTGCCTGGCCCTCCGCCTGGGCAGCGGGCACATCTCACTTGTCATCACCCCGCCAGCACTACTTTGACATGTGTGTGAAAAGGGGACCTCGGTCTCTGTGGATGATAGAAAGAACATGAGCAAGTAAGTGAGGGAGGAAGTGGCCGACGGAGCGATGGAGCGAATTAAGAGGCTGGTGGCTGTAGAATGAGGATGCGAAATCCTTACAGACGCCGTGAAGAGAAGCAGGAAGCCCGCCAGGCCTTGGGACTGAGGGGAGATATCTGGGGCCCGAGGGCTCCTCGAGAAGGGGTCCCGCTGGGGGCGGTGGCGGGGACAGAGCCCACGGCCCAGGGAAGACGGCTCCATGCGGGAAACGGACGAGGTGGCCCTGCAGCAGGCGTGCATACAAACCTTGACGTCCGCCAGCCTCTCCTCCTTCTGCCAGTCCCACACAGACAGCACGTGGTCGTTGGAGTCATCCACTGCACAGAGGTTGCTGCCTCCATTCTAGGAAAAAAAGGCGGTATTCATAGGAAGACTATACTCGAGAATAAACAGACTGAGCGTGATTAAAAAGGAACGTCATTTTATTTTTAATCACGAGTCTGCTACATCTTTATTACAGAGTTTTACCCATCACTGTTGAGATCTGCTTAGGACTTGGGCAGAGAAATGGTGGGGACGGGGGAATGTGGGGGTTAACGGGCACAGGAGCAGGAGGGAGGGGTCTGGGGGGACTTCAGTACCATTTCTGCTAGAACTAGCCTCCCGGGGCCGCAGAGCTCTCGCACTGGAGGGGACGGTGTCTGCAGCTCCGGGGCACAGGGCATGGGCCTGCTTGTCGTAAGGTGGTATGACGGGACGGGTGCTGGGGGTGAGGGGCAAGGCATGCTGATGTGAACACCTACGTGTTTCTAACTGGCTGACTAGGACTTTAAAGGTTCACCCTGAGGAAGCCTGGGGACCACGAGGCCCCTCCAGCCCCTGCTTACGGCCAGGCAGCGGGTGGGAATGGCACAGACATGGAAATTCAAGGCCAGAGGAGGCAAGACTGCTCCATGAGCCTGAGACAGTGTGGCCGTAGGACCTCTTCTCATCACCATGGAAACGTCTGACTGGGAGCGTGTGAGACCAAGCATGTGCTCCCTCTGAATGAGGGGGCCTGGCAAGTGGGAGGTTTCAGAGTTCAGATCTGTACACACACCTGGGCAGGTACGGGGGTGTTACCTCTCCCTCTTCAACCTTGACCTGAGTCTCTCCTCGCTACGCGGACAAAGCGGCAAGACCCACAGGGTTCACACTTACAGATTTTGAGAATGCGATACAGGTGACGGCTCGGTCAAAAAACCCGATTCCGATGACATGCAGCGTATTCAACGTCACGGAATCCCAGATGCGCACATGTGGGGGTAACTGCTGCTTCGGAAGAAAATGCTGGGTCACTCATCGTGCTGAGTCTACAAATTTACCTTTGTATTGAAGCTACTTCAACTTTGTCAAAAGTCTTTTTTTTTTAATGCTATTATCCCCCCAGTTCTTTGTTTTATCCTTTTATTTTGTAAGGCTTTATTTCAAATCAGTTTGATATTTACATGCAAAATATTGACAGTAAAGTGATTTTTTTTTTTTTTTTTTTGCTACACCACATGGCCTGTGGGATCCTAGTTCCCTGACCAGGGATTGAATCCACGCTCCCTGCATTGGAAGTGCAGTCTTAACCAAGGGGCCACCAAGGAAGTCCCAAAGCAAAAGTTTTTTTTTTTTTAATGCATTTAAGACTGTGTTTTTACAATAAATAAAATATTCCCAATATCTCACAATAAACTGGAAAATTCTGAAAGAGATGGGAATACCAGACCACCTGACCTGCCTCTTGAGAAACCTGTATGTAGATCAGGAAGCAACAGTTCGAACTGGACATGGAAAAACAGACTGGTTCCAAATAGGAAAAGGAGTACATCAAGGCTGTATATTGTCACCCTGCTTATTTAACTTACATGCAGAGTACATCATGAGAAACACTGGGTTGGAGGAAGCACAAGCTGGAATCAAGACTGCCGGGAGAAATGTCAATAACTTCAGATATGCAGATGACACCACCCTTATGGCAGAAAGTGAGAAGAACTAAAGAGCCTCTTGATGAAAGTGAAAGAGGAGAGTGAAGAAGTTGGCTTAAAGCTCAACATTCACAAAACTAAGATCATGGCATCCGGTCCCATCACTTCATGGCAAATAGATGGGGAAACAGTGGAAACAGTGTCAGACTTTATTTTTCTGGGCTCCAAAATCACTGCAGATGGTGATTGCAGCCATGAAATTAAAAGACGCTTACTCTGGAAGGAAAGTTATGACCAACCTAGACAGCAAATTAAAAAGCAGAGACATTACTTTGTCAACAAAGCCTATGGTTTTTCCAAAAGTCATGTATGGATGTCAGAGTTGGACTATAAAGAAAGCTGAGTGCCAAAGAATTGATGCTGTTGAACTGTGGTGCTGGAGAAGACTCTTGAGAGTCCCTTGAACTGCAAGGAGATCCAACCAGTCCATCCTAAAGGAGATCAGTCCTGGGTGTTCATTGGAAGGACTGATGTTGAAGCTGAACCTCCAATAGTTTGGCCACCTGATGCGAAGAGCTGACTCATTTGAAAAGACCCTGATGTTGGGAAAGATTGAGGGCAGGAGGAGAAGGAGATGACAGAGGATGAGATGGTTGGATGGCATCACTGACTCAATGGACATGAGTCTGGGAAAACTCTGGGCGTTGGTGATAGACAGGGAGGCCTGGCATGCTGAGGTTCATGGGGTCGTAAGAGTCGGACATGACTGAGCGGCTGAACTGAATATCTGCTGGAGGTCATGGCTCCTGTGGCCAATTTAGCTGTAGGGGAAGTCTACCAAGTTTTAGGGGCTTCCCTGACAGCTCAGGTGGTAAAGAATCTGCCTGCAGTGCAGGAGACCTGGGTTTGATCCCTGTGTTGGGAAGATTCCCTGGAGAAGGGCATGGCAACCCACTCCAGTATTCTTGCCTGGAGAATTCCATGGAGAGAGGAGGCTGGCGGGCTACAGTCCATGGCGCTGCAGAGTCAGACACAACTGAGCAACTAATACCAAGTTTCAAACTTTGAACAGTCATTTCTTGATAACCGTCCCACAGGAACTGATATTCCCATTTGTATATCTAAAGTATCTGAGTTTTAAAACTGAAAAATGACAAAGAAAATGGAGTCTCATATAAGGGCTACTCTTTTAAAGTTTGCATTGCCACTACGGGGTAACATGTTTAAATTTATTATGATGACTGCCACCAGTGGTATTAAGAACTTCACATTCTTGGGCCCCACAGGAAATTCATAATACAAAAATACAAACTTAGAATAGTTATGATTAGTTCAAAACTTCTCAGCTGTGCTAATTTTTCTCTTCCTTAATAGAAGAGAGCATTACAGAACCACCAGCAGATTTATCAAGAAAAGGGCTAGTTTTGTACACAACGGACAGGGGAACTGGGTTCTAGTCTGGACTTGTCTCTAAGTAGCTGGATGTTCACAGACAGTCACTTGGCCTCTCTGGAGTTCTCCACTTGTAAATGGAAAGGAATAGCTTAGCTATTCAGAGAAAATAACATTTTCTCTGGCTCCAAGGTTCTGATTCCATTTCAAGGCCAGAAACTGAAATACACAGTTCATCCACTAGAGGGAGAAACAAATGATTTACTACTGATTTTGAATAACTTTTAAAGGTCATTTAACATTAAAAAAAAAAAAAAAGAAAAAGACTGTTCCCTGTGTGTTTACAGAATAGCAGTCTGATTTCCATTGTTCCTGTTACCTACTTTCAAGTGTAGGATTTTAATGGAAAATAGCATAAATATTTAAAATTTGATGTTATTAAAATACTTTCTGAAAAATGGTAGCACTCATGATAAAATTGGAACTACTTAGTGGAATTAGTTTCAGATTATACATTGTGCATTGATAGACTATACAAAAGTAGATGTCAGAAAAGTTACAAGATGTTTTGGATAAAACATAACAATGACCATAGATTGTGGTAAATAAGTAGAAGTCAGTTTTGAATTGCTGTATTTGCCAAATTCCACTAGCTCCTTCTCTGATTCCTTAAAATACAAACTGAAGTCTTTGCTTATAAAATTTTGCAAAAACCCTTTGAGCAGCCCTTGTGGATGACACACAGACACAAACTCCATGCATTAAAGTCATGATAATAAGGGACTCATGGCACAAGGTATCTGAAATTCACTGAAGAGGCAAAATGCCCCATATTCAAATGATTATTTCTCATGATTACTTAACATGTTAATGTTTATCACGTGAGTAAATAAGTATCTGAAGAATTAATGACTTCTTAGGCAAGAGCAATGCTATTTAAAAATTAGCTGAAATTAACGTGAGCTCAAGGGTTTTTTTTTAAGGTCAGCGTAAGAATTTTCATTTGTAATAAAAATTCACATTGAGAGATTAAATTCAAATTTGAGCTTCCCAGGTGGTGGTGCTAGGGGTAAAGGGCCCATCTGCCAATGCTGGAGATGTAAGAGACACGGGTTCGATCTCTGGGTTGGGAAGATCTCCTGGAGGAGGGAATGGCCTCCCACTCCAGTATTCTTGCCTGGAGAATCACACGGATAGAGGTTCCTGGTGGGCTACAGTCTGTGGGGTTGCAAAGAGTTGGACATGACTGAAGCAACTGAGCATGCAAACTCACAGACATTATATCTAAGTAGGCTTATTCATCAGCAAAATGTTTTCAGAAAAATCATTGTGTTACCAGTTCATTATGAAAACATGAAAAGATCACTCACTTTTCCATCCTTGGACGTGCCTGCAACTTGTCCCGTGGCTATTGTGACCCTATCGGGGTGAACTGCAAGGCTAAAAAGAGATCTTCATAAAGCACCTGTTCTTAGGTAAGTCCAAACTCAATTTTTCATAATTTCATTTACCTATATTAATAATGTGTCTATGATGATCAAATGTTCAGACTGCCAAAAAAACCCCAAACAAACCAAACAAAGAAAACACAAAACATCTACTCTTTTAAAAGTAAGCTTCACTTTTCCCTTGATTAAATATACTCTGGTCAAAAATTTAAATGTGAGAAATATACGTGTCTGACTTCTTACACACTCTTGATAAATTCTCTGAGCTCCCAAAGACCTCAGACAATTGGTGTGTATTTCATTTCATCTTCCATTTCTTTATCTGTAGGGGATTTCCAAACTCAAAGGAAAAGCAGCCCCTGCTTGGGAAATACCACTTTGATCTCAGAATTGTTTAATTAGTGGACAGTCTTTATTAAGAAGTCATTCTGAGTCCATCAAACAGCAAAGACATCCTCTTTTTCCAACAGGATTTTTATAACTGATCAGGGACTTAGAACAAATAGAAATAACATAAACCCATCTATTCATCCACCCATCTTTCCAAGATACATAAAATCATTACCAAAGGTATAAATGAATTATAGGAATAGCAGACCCACCCAGAAACAAGAGGCAAAATATTTTTATTAAAAACTGAACATCCAAAAAAAAAAACCCCCAAAAAACTGAACACCCAAATTAGCAGCCATTAGCACGAGAAGCCCTCCAGACAGGGGTTCGTTAGAGCTATTTGTTTAGGTAACAGACAAACTGTTGTCTGTTACCTAAACAACAAATTGTTTTAGGTAACAAACAAATTGTTACCGTTGCTGAAGAGGATGTGTCATGAGAATAGAAAACCAAAGAATGGGTCTTAGAGCGCCAGGGAGCCAGAAGACAGTCCAGAGCACAAACAAGAGCTGTTCTCAAAGATCCCATGCTCTCAGCTCTCTCTGCGGTTCTGTCCATCACAGAACCCTTTGTGCCCACACCCTATGCACAGGCATCACAGGCACGGTTTTGGGGACTCACCACTTCACGTCGTCATTATGGCCCACGTAATGCCTCTGGAGCTGCTCCTCCACGTTGTATAGCACGACTACCGATGCGATGAAATAGACCGTCTCGCCCGTCGGGAGCAAGTACAGGTTGTTACGGCAGTCTCGACCCCGGTACCCGTAGCTTTGTGTGCGTCAAGACAAAACGTGCCTTCTTTTAGGAGCTAACAAAACATCAGCTTTCTTCAGCTGGCACAGGCACTAAATTTCTATGTGACTGTTACCATCAATTTCACTAATTTAAAGAAGACTAAATTTGAAATACTCCATGACAAATATTCAATACACCGGACCCCTCTCAATAGGCAGGCAATAAAGTTGCAAATGGTAATTGATTTAGTGGTAATTGCTGATACTTTTTTAACAATACAAAGGTGTGGGTGTTTTTTTTTTGAAAGTATGTATTATAATATGACCTGGTAGCTCAACTGGTAAAGAATCCACCTGCAATGAGGGAGACCCCAGTTCGATTCCTGGGTCGGGAAGATGTGCTGGAGAAGGGATAGGCTACCCACTCCAGTATTCTTGGGCTTCCTGGGTGGCTCAGATGGTGAAGAACCCGCCTGCCATGTGGGAGACCTGAGTTTGATTCGGCTTGAAGAAACATGGTGATTTGCTGTTCTACTGCTAACAGTAACTGGACCAGACACTTCTGTAATAACTAGGAAGTGAACTCTTCAATTTGGCCCATCAGTCATGGATCCAAGAAATCAGTGGCCAGGGCCCACACTGCTTTGTTGAACTGTTGAAATCTTATGTAGATGCGTTTTCCTCACTCCTAGGCTGGGTTTAAGTTTTTCCCAAGCTGGTCTCCTGAAAGGCCAGTGACCATAATATTCGGTTAGAGGTACCATCCTGACGCTAGAATGAAAGTCACCTAGAGGGTGACTTGACACTGGTCTCCCAAGAATGCTGGGGTACTCTGCTCATTTTTCTTCCCTCTTTCCTTTCTGCTGCCTCTCTTGTGTACCATTTACTCTAGTTCCCACACTACTTGCGGAGATACGCTGAACCATGACCACAATCTAGAATGTGTCCACTTGCCGTCTTGAATCTAACTTTTAAAGCCGAGAGCTTGATTCCGGGGCTGGAACTGAAAGGAAGAACAGGGCCACTGAGTCTTGCCATCTTTGAACTCTCCACGCCATCGTCATCCTGAGACACACACCTCCAACAGGGGGCCTAAAGCTGCAGCCACGCTGTGGCTTAAGAAGAGAGGCTCAGCCTGGTGCTAGAATCACGGCTGGAAGATGAGCTGAATCCTATTGTGGTCAGTGGCTTTTGGAGCTTGTTTGGAAAACAAAATACATCTGGCAGTGCTGCGTGCGTGCAGGCGTGCTCGGCCATGTCCGATCTTTGCAACCACGTGGACTGCAGCCCACCAGGTTCCTCTGCCCATGGAATTTTCCGGCAACAATACCGGAGAGGGTTGCCATTTCCTACCCTAGGGGATCTTCCCAACCCAGAGATCGAACCCAAGTCTCCGGCGTCTCCTGCATTGGCAGGTGGATTCTTTACCACTAGCACCACCTGGACAACCCTCTGATGATGTTAAGTGGCTATACTGTTTCAAATATCAAGCAATATGAGGTTATAAACACTATTCTAAGGAAAAAAAAGTTGAGTTTTGACATTCCTTATAAAGTATTTAAAAAGAAAATTTTAAGACACTGGTAAATGACTTTCATGTCTCAGTTATAAACCAATTATGAATTTACTGCATATTGTAACCTGGCAGCTACATATTTAACTTAAAACATTTTTTTTCTTACATTATAAAAAATACCTGTAGAAGGTGTGAACAATATACATGTATATATGGAAGTTACCTGGTTGTCTAGTGGTTAGCTCTCTGGGCTCTCACTGCCATGGAAAGTGAAAATATTAGTCGCTCACTTATGTCCGACTCTGCAACCCCATGGACTGCAGCCTGCCAGGCTCCTCTGTCCACGGAATTCTCTGGCAAAGAATATTGGAGTGAGTTGCCATTCCCTTCTCCAGGGGATATTCCTGACTCAGGGATGAAACCCAGGTCTTCTGCATTGCTGGCAGATTCTTTACCATCTGACCCACCAGGGAAGCTCATGTATCTATATATCAATCAATAAAAGGCAACAAATTTAGGTCCTCCTTGTCCTAACCATCCACAGCTCCTCAGGAATAATAACCTGTTAAGATTTTAACATATATGCTTCCAAAGTTTGAAAACTATTTCAGAGCAAAACATCACTTGAACTTGGATGTGAAAAACAACCGTTTATTTGCTGCAAACTCCACTGTTTCACCCCTTTTAAAATATGAGTTGGGAGTAAGTTGAACAACTATGTCTTGAATAATGTGTTTCAGATTTGATTTAACCAATTCAAACAATTACTGACTTACAGAAGAATGGGATCACTTTTTATGTGCCAATACAGACGGCAAAATAGGTGCAGGTGAACACTTACGACATCTGAATCTGAAAAAATTAAAAAATGTTTTGAGAAATTTAGGTACAGAAATAATTCCAAAAAGTTTCCAAGGAATATGACTTTAAAATTTCAAATAGTAATTCTTCTAACTGAAATGACAATAGCTTCAGTTTAAACCAACTTCACATAATTTGTTTTCAGGGTTTGGCATTAAACTGGTATTCCAATAAATATCTGTTTGAGGCTGAAGAAAGGATTTTTGCTCTTTGTCTTAAAAGTCTCCATGGACTGGAAGGTGGCCTCTGTGGGCTTCTAAAGTAAAATAAAATAGTAAAATAAAAAAAAAACCCAAAACAACACTTCACCCTCTTTCACAGGCTCTATTTCTTGTCTTTCTTTTATTCCCTCCTTGGCAGTTCATTCAACTTTCCCAAGCCTCATATTATGAAGAATCTAGCAGCTTTGTTTCAAGAATGCTAGTCATATGGCTGACTCAGATTTCTGTGGCCTAGATTTTGAGAGCTTTTTCTTTTTTTTCCCAGTGGTATTATATTGATGCTACGTGTCCATTTAACTTAAGCCATAGACTGTGTTGTATTCCTTTCATTTAGTACTGAGTCCATACTCATGTTCAATTAGTCACTGTTTTTTAAGTTTTTTTTTTTTTCTTTTTTAAATTGCTGTATAGTTGATTTACAATGTTAAGATCCCACCCTGTGGCATGTGGGATCTTAGTTTCTCAATCACAGATGGAACCCACACCCCCTGCATTGGAAGGTGAAGTCTTCGCCACTGGACCACCAGGGAAGTCCCTAGTTACAGTTAACTTGAAGGTAGAGTCCCAAGGTTGGCCAAAGCCATACTTGGTTGAGGGGAAATGCTAGTCCTTCCTTCCAGGCAATCCCTCTTTCTTTCTTTGGGTTAAAAAACTTATTGCCATCACGGTTTAGTTTTACGGGTTTCTACAACTGAAAAAAAAGCACTCATCAACACTTCAGGTCAGACTTAATGAATAAAGGATACACCCATTCCAGCTTCAGTCTCTTGGTGGGCAGTTCTACTTTTGCTTCCAAATTGTAAGAATCCACTTGATCTTTGGGCATGTACATGGTAACAGGGCGTCCACGAAGAAACATTTTTACATATCCTTCTTCTATGAAGAGAACAAAGAGGTCAGTAAGACACCTTGGTGCCCAGGGTACCTGAAAAAAAAAAAGTTATATTTTCTCTATCCTTTCAATGCAAAAGTAGAAACTTTGCCATTTATGTCATTTCTGATTAAAATCCTAGGGAAAACTAACTAAAACACAAATAGTTTGAAACAAAAATTTTCACCTTGTTTGCCTTTGACATTCTGCTTACTTAAGTAATGTAAGAAATTACAAAAGGCAGAAAAGAATTAGATTCCAACAATTATTTTCCATGGAATTTTAGTTCTTATATTTTCTTTATTATCAGGAGGGGGAAAATGCCACCCCCCAAAATTACAACTAACACAAGAAATCCACTTAAATTTTTTTTATTGAGTTCAATGGATATACAATTGTAGTATCAAAATTCATAAAATATCTTTCAATATTTAAATTGGTTTGTTACAGTGCAATGTAAAAATGTGTCTTTATGTATCTTTCACATTGGATAATTCAAGTGAAAAGGACACAAAACCAGCAGAAGTTCATGCTGGGATGCATGCAAAAAGGAAAATGCTCAAAGAAAAGCTAGAAATAGAAAAGAAAAGAACAAAAGACCCACTAGAGAGAGAAGCTGGGGAATAAACCTTTCTAGAACAAACATTTTTATAACAAAATAACTTCTGATACTTTAATAAACTGTAGGGATGAAAGTAAAACCCAATAACACATCGACAAGGGGCCACTCCTGGTTTTAAACAAAGCCAAACAATATAGGGTTTTCTGTTTACAGTTTTCAAGGTATTATAATAAGACCATCTTGTGAGCTCTTGATGAATTCTGTTGGGATTCAGAACTCCCTGCATCCTGATGCTTCACTGCAGATCGAAGGACTGGGACCTTTAATGGCATGTAAATTGGGCAGCTGGGGCTATACCGTAACTCAACAGAAAAATCATGCCCAGAGAGGAAACTGGTAAGGAAGTCATAAAATAATTATAACGCTGTAAGTACCACATTCACAAATTAGTTTCATAAGCCTCATTCCTGAGGATTTTTAGACAAAGCCACATGCGATATTGCCTAAAAATGGAGAGGCCATTGCACTTTTATGGTGTGCGTGCAACTCAGGTCTTAAACACATGCATGTGACACACGCTTCACTCTGCGTGCTAAATCGGACTTTTAGGTAAAAACCAACACGTGTTCACTCCTGCACAAGGTGCCAGCTGCTGTGTTCCGTGGTGCTCCTGTGACAGTGCTCCACGAGGCTCCATCCTCCCCAGCTCCCCTGGGAGGAGCCCATCTGAGGCCCCCAGGGCTGCAGGCTTTCGGACGGCCTCCAGCCCCTACCTTGGTCATCGTAGCTACCAAACCCATCAAGGCCCAGGCTGGATTCAGGACCCTTCTCCTGCCCTCCTGCCTGCTGGGCCCCCGCTCTAACTGCCCTGCCCCCTCTTCCCGTATATGACGTCACTGGCCACAACTGCCCCCCACCCAGGGGTCCTTCTCTCTCCCTCTCTGCCACCTACATGCCCACCCGTTCTGTGCATCTGCCCATGCTCGCCTCACCCACCCCCTTACCTTCCTTCATCCCTCAACCAAATCTCAGTGCCTCAGACGGCGTGGCCATCACAACTGAAGACCCTAAAAGCACTCAGTAGATCAACGGAAGGGGGACAGAGAGGGGTGGGTGTGATGGCTTAAATGATAAGTGATTCCATGAGTTCTTTTGTAAGAGGGGAATCACGGACTGCAGATTCAGAATAAACGGAATATAATGTCACCCCGCAGCACACACCAAAAGCCTCGTACGGGGGTATGTAATCCATGTAGATGGAATATCTACTTGAGTATGTCGTTACATGCTGGAAAAGTCCTTATGAAAAGTTTACTCATTGGGCATATCTACGTCACTGGACGGAGCAGAAAAGCTCTGGAGGTAGCCTTGGCACTGTTTTGGACATCTAAGTCAGATATCCTACATCTAAAAAAAAAAAACCAAAAAATGCAGCGAGGGAAAGCAATGTTTGCTTGCTTGTTCTTTTTTTCAGGCATGTTAGGATAACAGCACACAACCCCCAACCCCAGAGGTGCCACAGGGAGCGGCCAGCAGCAGTGCAGGTTCCAAAAAAACGGGCATCCAGGGTTCGCCCTATAGCTCTCTTAACTTTCATACAGATTTTAAAAAGTTCTTGTCATCAGCCAATCGTCACTGAAGGTCCAGGTTTTAGCTCCTCAGTAAGACCCGCCCAAGCAAATGCTCAGGACTGCTTTGACCGTCCAATAAACCCATGTGGTTTGCATCACAAAACATTTTCATACAAGGAGGGTGGCTGGTGGCCTGTATGAAGAGCGTTTCTGCAGCCTGGGGCGCAGCTTTGCTCAGAGAGCTATGAGGTGTCAGCAATGCCGCCTACCTTTGCAATGTGTCACCCGGCGTTTCCCTTGGGATTTCGGAGACAGAGACAGAAGTGCTGGGTAAAGAGACGACGGGGCGCTGCAAGAGGGACTGGCCTGCCTGCAGGGGGCGCTCTCGAGCCCCCCGGCCCAGAGACTCCCCCGCCCCCACCGCTAGAAAAACCTGGACACGTTTCAGGGTTTCTGACAAGTGCACACCAGACCTACTCTGCAGGCTGAGGGCGAGTACATTTTCAGTGAGTAATTTCATGCTTCCTGAAAATGAAATGAATACTGAAGCACATGCGCATAAATAGGAAAGTCTGACTTTCGTGTTTCGATGCTTAACTTAAGGGGAAAAAAAAACTTGGAAAATTAAATGAATTTATTTAGCCCATTGCACAAAATCTTGTCAAAGATTTTGCATTTTAAAATATGTTTTCAAATAAGGTTACTATTCTAAAAATAGCAGCTCCCTCACTATAACATGTGTTAGAAAAGATACATGGAAAAGATATATATGGACTATTAGTTGGCAGTTTAGGAAATCACAGGCAGAAAAAGAAGTCGCTTTTAGATAAAGTTGTAACTGGATGCATCAGAGACTTTCCCTTTCAAGAGAAACCCAAATGCTGGTGATGGGAGAGCCCCCATTTAGTAAGGAAGGGGCGAGAAAGGCAACAGGTTGTTTTAACCGAGAAATTTCTTGTAATGGCATGTCGCTTTCTCCTTATGGATGTATCTTGAATCCATTTTAAATGGGGGCAAATAAAGGGTTTAGTTTTTATGACCCTCTTCTGGGTGGTCTCTGAGCGATGTGAGTCGCCAGACCCCCAGGTACAGGCCGACAGTGAGCACTCAGCCCCGAGCCCCGCCACACGGACCCCCGTGTTCTGCCCATCCCAGCTGCCCCTCAAGTATCGCGGCAAGGGGCACCCGCACTGACATTCAACCAGCCTTACCTGCGCTGAAGACTGGCTCCTTGGGTTTGCTGTGGAGACAAAACCAAAATACGTTTCATTTTATTTCTTTCTAAATTTGTTTTAATTGGAGGAAAACTGCTTTTACAACATTGTGTTGGTTTCTGCCATACAACACCACAAATCAGCTTTCGATATGGACCATTTTTAAAGCCTTTATTGAATTTGTTACAATATTACTTCTGTTTTATCCTTTGGTTTCCTGGCCAGGAGGCATGTGGAATCCTAGCTCTCTCACCAGGGGTCGAACCCACATCCCCTGCACTGGAAGGCGACGTCTGAGCCACCAGACCACCAGGGAAGTCCCCCAAAACAGTTCTCAGAGGGAAGCAGGGGCTGGTGGTTAGTCTCGGTCACGGAAGACCCCTCACCAATGGCCGCATGAGTTTGTCACACAGATGCTGAGTGAAGAACATATGTTAAAAAGAAACGCAAAGCCCTGTAACTGCAAAGAGAAACAGCGTAAACAGAAGTGCCTAAAACCAAGCGCCAGAGATGACAATCCCAACTTTATCAGCAAAGCTGTGCTTTTTATGAGAGCAAAGAGAGGTTTGGAGAAGGAAAACGCGTGGTTAATCAAGACGGGAACAGCCCTGCCTAAATGCGTAGAAAGGTTTGTTTCTCTTCCCCACGTGCTTCTGGCAGATTATTTGAAGAACTGACTTAAAACTAGCAAACTCCTGTTGCAGGGGCTTTGGCAAGAGAACTTTAGCACCTGGCTCCCGAGAGGGGAGGAACTAAAGAACCTCTTGATGAGGGTGAAGGAGGAGAGTGAAAGAGCTGGCTTAAAACTAAGTATTAAAAACCTAAGATCATGCCATCAGGCCCCATTACTTTATGACAAACAGAAGGAGAAAAGGTGGAAGTAGTGACAAATTTCCTCTTCTTGGGCTCAAAAATCACTGCGGATGGTGACCATGGCCATGAAATCAGAGGACAACTGCTTCTTGGCAGGAAAGCTATGACAAACCTAGACAGTGTGCTGAAAAGCAGAGATACTACTCTGCCGACAAAGGTCCTTATAGTCAAAGGTATGGTCTTCCCAGTGGTGATGTACGGTTGTGAGAGCTGGACAGTAAAGAAGGCTTAGTGCCAAAGAATTGATGCCTTTGAACTGTGGTGCTGGAGAAGACTCTTCAAAGTCCCTTGGAAAGGAGGAGATCAAACCAGTCAATCTTAAGGGAAATCAACCCTCAATTCTCGCTGGAAGAACTGATGCTGAATCTGAAGCTCCAGTATTTTGCTCATCTGATGCAAACAGCCAACTCATTGGGAAAGTCCCTGATGCTGGCAAAGATTGAGGGCAGAAGGAGAAGAGGGCATCAGAGGATGAGATGGCTGGATGGCACCACCAATGCAATGGACACAGACTTGGGCAAACTCCGGGAGATGGTGAGGGACAGGGAGGTCTGGTGTGCTGCAGTCCATGGGGTCTGCAAAGAGTCGGACACAACTGGGTGACTGAACAACTCCCAGGAGGGATGGCTCTTGGGGGGAAGATGAGGGGGCAGGGAAAAGGAGGGAAGAATAAGGACTATTGGGGTGTGGCCACATCCTGGGACATGGGGGGACCCCACTGTCTCAATCAGGCTGAGACCCCATGTCTGCACCTGAGAAACCCACCAAGTTCAAGGGCACACCATGGACAGGCTGAGGTCACCCCTGGGGGCGAGCTTCCCAGAGGACAGTCTGCCCGGGGAGTCCCCCCGCCAAGTGCAGGAGGGCATGGTCCTCCCCGTGACAACCGGACAGCTGCCCGTGGGAAGATTGCCACCTCGTGCCAGACAGGGGACGGGACCCCCAAGGGCAGCAGGAAGTGAATCCTGTTCACACACAGAGCCAGCCCTTGAACCCAAGTCTGCGAGACTCCAATGTCCACCCCGTCTTCCACGGTACCCACTGCCCGTTCCTGCCCCCGGCTTCCCAGAATACCTCCCACTCTAACACAGAACAAGACACAGTAAATAAATGAAACCCACCCCAATGATTTTGGGATTCCCTCGTAGTTCAGTTGGAGAATCCTCCAGGCAAGAACACTGGAGTGGGTTGCCATGCCCTCCTCTGGGGCATCTTCCCGACCCAGGGATCGAACCCGGGTCTCTTACATCTTCTGCGTTGGCAGGTGGGTTCTTTTATCAATAGCACCACCTGGGAAGCCCAGATTTATCTTCATTATCGTGTCTCTCCCCATCAGGAGGGAAGCCCAGAAGGGCAGGGCTCGCTGTTCACAGCTGTGACCCAGGGCCTGTAACAGTCTTCAGCTGCTGACTGGAAGCTGGTAGGGTCTGGAGCCCTCCCTGCCTCTGACCCTGGCTGGCCCTGTGGATCTGCGTCTGGCCGGGTGGGCTGCTGGGGGGGGGGCAGGGGTGTGTCTCAGTGGCCTTGGCCCCCACTGCCCCACCCCACTCCCCGAAGTACCCAGTGCTGCCGGATGAATGACGCTCCCTGCCGTCCTCCCAGCTGGTGCTCAGCCTTCACCATGCCCAGCCCCACCCCACCAGGGCCCCTCTCAGGGTCCCCGTCCCTCCTCCAGGGCAGCTGAATAGCATCTGGTTCCCATGAAAGGCCCAGTGTGGAGCACCCTTCAGCAACTACCATGCCTGGGCTCTGAGAGGGTGGCTTCAGGACTCTCCTACTCCCTGGCTTTGAGGGAAGAACGTGTATGTGTGTGTGTGTGTGAGCATGCATGCATGAAGGTTCACCTCGAGTGAGTGTGTGTGTGTGTGTGTGTGTGTGTGTGTGTGTGTACGCGTGCATGAAGGTTCACCTCGAGCCTGTGGCTCCTGAGAGTCCACCCATGCTGGTCCACGCCCGGCCTCGCAGGACTCTAGAAGCATTCAGCTCCTTTCCTCCTCTTCCTCCCATTCCTTCTCTTCCTGCAGCTCTGCAAAGACTTCAGCAGTGGTTGCAGTCCCTCCTAAGAGAGGGGCCTGTCACTTTTGGGGTTGGAGTTCATCGCATCACTTGGTGACCTTGGCTCCATGGTGGGGTTACCTGGCTTGTTCTCGTTACTGGGGGAAGTGACACTCTTGTGATTTTTTTTTTTTAAGTGGAAGAACAAGTCTTAACTCCAAATTTTATATTTTATCAGATTGACGGCAGGGCAAGGACACAGAGGAAAAGCTAAAACAGATCACTACAAAGCACATCCGCTAGTTAGGGAAGGTAGGCAGGGAATTAGAAGACAGGAAAGCTATTTTTTTTTCCATCATGACTTTGATCACAGAAGTAGAAAGATGTCAAGTCCGTGAGACAGATATAAACAACACAGAATCTTCCCAAGAGATAGAAAAGAGCAATTACAGATTGTTTCTCTTAGAGAACATTCATAGGGGAATGTGAACTCCAAATGTAGGGATGCTAGTGGAATTCTGATGCTGAAGCACCGTAAGAAGAAGGATAAAAGATCTCTGTTAAAAGATCAGAAAAAGGCAGCCTGAGTGTTATCAGCTGAAGGGCACTGAGAAGTATCAGGTACTGAAGTGCTCAGAGTTCTTCAAATTCTGCACTAAACTATGGGCTACCCTTTGGGTACCAGGTTTCCCTGTAGCTTGGATGGTAAAGAATCTGCCTGCAATGCAAGAGACCCTGATTGGATCCCTAGGAAGATCTCCGGGAGGAGGAAATGGCAACCCCCTCCAGTATTCTTGCCCGGAGAATTCCATGGACAGAGGAGCCTGGCGGGCTACAGTCCATGGGATCACAAAGAGTCGGACACAATTGAATGACTGACACAAGCTATATTTAGGAAACATATTACTGCTATGTTTCACTATTTTAGAAAGTTAAGTTTCTATAGAAAAATAAACTATTAATATATTTACTTTAGAATCCATGATTCCTGCCAATGCACCACCCTCCTGAAAGGCAAGAGGCCAGGGAAAGGGCCTATTCCAGTCATGAGTGCCTGTCTTATAAATACAAAACTATAAAAGGACAATGAATCTCCCCAATCGCAGACAGAAGGGAAAACCCACAGAACACATGATGATGGTGATCCGAAGTTAAAGACGCTGTTGCCCCAGTCAACATCAGCTCATGGGAGTCGGGTGCCCATCACCTGTCCGATCCTCAACTCAGCATCAGGAAAGCTGAGAGTGAGCTCCTCAAATAGCGCTTCAGACCCAGCATGCTGGAAACACGCCCGGGCTGTGAACCCACTTGGACCAAGAGACTGCCTCTTGAGGTGTTGTGTAGTCTGTCCCTGGTCACCCACTCCTCACTGTGAGCTCCAGGGAAAACTGAAGTGGGTGACTTCACACCGCCTCCGCAGCCAGGGCCTGGTCCCCAGGGGTGGCGTGGGGCTGGTGGGACGGAGGGTGGATAAACTCTGGGAGCAGAGTGAGGCTCCCTTCCTCCCCATCCAAGTCCGGAGTCAGCACTGACGGAGGTGCAGGACGGAAGTGAGCCCAGAGGAGAGGAAGGATCTCCATCCTGGCAGGCAGACCCTCATCTCTTGGCTGGTCCGGCGTTAGGCGGCCAGGGCCAATGGCTCCTAAATGAACAGCGGTGCCATCCGGTGCAGTTGTTTTTTTTGGCAGGAAGGCAATCTGCTGAAAAAGCTTGGCTGTACTCTCCCTAGGGCGGGACGGTTCAGGAGATTCTGCGAAGGACTCCTCTAAGTATAAGCAGTACCTGGGGGTCGGGGGGAGGTGAGGTCGCCTGGAGCCTTCCCCAGACCAGTAGCTGGATCTGGAGGCAGCGAGAGGAGACCAGACAGTGGGTACAAGGAAAACTCCCACTGGAAGCCGTGAGTTCACACCCACGAAGCGGCTATAACCGCCCAGGACCAAGTCACGTGGCATCGAATCCCCGGAAATGTTCAGTGTGGACTTTGGGCGCCGGGGGCTGTCACAAGCAGCTGTTTCCCCCTTCATCTGCTATAATTCAGATGCCACACTGCGGGCTGGGTGTGTGTCGGGGGAGGAGAGTCCAGCCAAGAATTCATTCAGACTCGGATGCAATGAATATTCCCCAAACTCTTGCCCTGTGGTGGGATCTGCACTTAGCA